GGAAAAATTTTTAATTTATTGGAAAAAATTAACGTAACATAATGTTTTGTAGCGCTACTAATACTTACTGTTTTCTAGTGCGCTTGCTTATGTTATCGACAAATCGAATTTCCTACCTTCGTTTTATGTTCCCTTCAAATGTGTGGCAACTCCATGTCGTAAAAAAATGCAAATATAATTGAAAATAAAAGATGACTCCCCCTACAGAAAATATATATTTTATATAAATTATAGTGCGTTTCAAAATAAACAGTAAAAAAGTAACAAAGTAAACTCTAGTGGCGCCATCTATATGTCGACTAGTGCGAATCTGCTATCCTATATCGACTTCCAGTAAAAATTTCATGACATTTCAGCTATTGGAAGTGAAGTTATCGCGTTTTAAGTGTCAGTATGTATATATATTGTCATCTGTGCGAAAATGAGCTTCGAACAAAAAACCAACATTAAATTTTGTTTTAAAATTGGTAAAATTTTACCGAAACGATTCATTTGATGAAACTAGTTTATGGCGATGATTACCTATCCCGTAGCAGAGTGTACGAGTGGTTTCAAAGTTTTCAAAGTGGTCGTGAGGACATAAATGAGAGATGAGCTGAAACCCAAAAAATCGCGCCTAAAGAATTCAAAAGTGAAGACAATGTTGATTTGTTCTAATGATTCCAAGGGTATTGTACACAAAGAATTTGTTCCACCCGGCCAAAACGTTAATGCGGTATTCTACCTTGGAGTTTTGAAGCGTTTGGTGCGCCGTATTCGACGTGTTCGGCCCGAATATCGCGAAGATGGAAGTTGGCGTTTGTTGCACGATAATGCGCCGTCTCATCGATCGACGCTTGTGGCCGATTATTTGACCAAAAATCACATTTTAACAACCAACCACTCCCCGTATTCACCTGATATGGCACCGTGCGACTTCTACCTTTTCGGAAAAATGCATTTGCCGATGAAAGGAAAGCGTTATGCAGACGTGCAAAAAGACAAAAAGCTGTATTAAAGCAGAAGGAGGAGACTATTTTGAATAAAATTAATTGATTTTGCCGATAAAACCATTTGTTCTGTCTTTTTTTTTTAAAGTCCTGTTTACTTTGGAACACACCTTTACATATGTTATAAAAAATTTTTGCTTACGTGTAAATTGAACCAATGGCTCGACGGGTCGTAATCATGCACTTAACTCATTTGCCAACATTGGCAGGCGACTAATAAATTGGTAACTGTGTGGGAACAATTTTATATACTTGTACATATATTTTCAAAGTATTTTGCTTACATTTTTTTCAAGGATTGCCAACTATTTGGATTGCCTAAACAAATTCAACTCAAAAATTAAAAAAACAAAAAACATTATATAACCCTTTACAAATAAAATCTTTTCAAAACAAGAACATGATATTAATCAAACGATTCGGCCATTGATCAATAGCATAACGCATATTTTCTGTTGATATTGACGACGCTGTTCGAATCAAAGATCTGTATATTTCTGTGGGATTTTCGACAGGCCAAGTTCTTTAATTCTGACCACAAACTGTAGTCCAATGGACTCATATTTGAACTTCCAGACGGCCAATCATCTGCAGCTATGATACCACGAACATTAGTTTTAAGCCACTGCTGGGTGGTTTTTGCCACCATCTCTTGGTGGAAGATTAGTTAACTGGCGTAGGCTTTCATGTGGAGATCTTCTCAAATCAGTCTTGACATTGAACTGATAAAAATACACATTTCCTTAAAAAAAATTTTCTATTTTCTATGCGGATTTCTGCGAGTGCGTTCATTTTTATGGCTGAATTCATTCGAACTACGGAAGAACAACCATTTCTATTTCTGTCATCAACTGTAGACGCTTGGGAAAAGCGATCAAGAGTGCGGTGAATAAACATTCTCGAAATATTTAGTTTATAAATCCTAATCAACCAATCAATTCTCATTATTTCCCATACCAATATTTTTTATTATATTTAAACCTTTCAAAAATTTTTCAATTATTATTTTATTTTAAGTTTTTTTTTTTTTTAGTTTGGAATTAACTTCTTGGTTCCTGCAATTTTTTACTGTTATCAAACCATGCTCGTTTGTGCCGCTCTATAAAGCATATAACACCTATGTAAGCATGTCGATATCACCGTTGTTATTGCAACACCTTGTTGCAGCTAATTATGAATACCTATGCAACATTTTGTGGCATATACATATGTTCTGCTAACCTAATTTAGAGTTGTTGCCACACCGTTTACTTATGTTCTCGATAACACTGCTGTAAAAAGCCCAAATGTTACAATTTGCACCTCTATGTAGCAAGATCACCAAGCATAGCTTGACAGTGCAACAAACGGTAAAAAATAGCTAGTTTCTTATCGCTAACGCCACACACAACGAGAAGTGTAAAACAGTCAAATAAATAGTAATATTAAATATGTAAATTTTAACTATACTTGTATATAGACCTACATATATATGTATATATAAAATATAAATGTATGTATAAATACATATATGTATATCATTAGCTGGCTTGCAAAAGCTGCCACGGGGTGCGCGTGTTTGGTGGTGGCGCAAGCAATTTGGGTTTTTCCTAACAATGCACCGGCGAAACAATAATAGAAAAAGAGGGGAGAAAAAACAGTGTTCAGTTCCAGGTAAGAAGCAGCAAAAAGTGCTAAGAAAAAAGTAGAAAAATCGAAAAAAGTTGCACTGGCTTGCGCTTACGTAATATCCCCCATAGCTTATCAGTCGTAATTAACAATGCAATTGTTTTTGCCTTGCAATTTTTCATAACCGATATAATCCGCCTGCGGGGAAAACTTGGAAGTGTGTAATTTTTGAATAAATTTTATAAAAATTCAATGCATAAACAATTGCTTCCATTCAGTGGCAAGTGTTATGCGCTACAGGCTTGCCCGACCCGTTTACAAGTGCGCATTTATAATGGGTGCCTTAAACGGTCTTCAAGAAAAAGAATTGTATAAAGTCAACTTATGGTACTTAAAAAAACTAAAACATGTATAATAGTTCTATGCGCGCTCATAAATCTAAATTTTTAATATTGCAAACAAATTTATGTCTGATCTATGCTTGTACTTCTGTGGTGTTACCCGATCGCACAAATGTCATAAGTTTGTAATTAATTATTTTTTTTAAAGTACCGTTTTACTTTTTCTTTGAGTTTTTTTCATCGTTCCATGTTAATAAATTAAGTTTTCGCGATTTCCATTGTAATGACTTCCTCAATTATTGCAAAGCCATTACTCATTAACCTACTGAATTATCACCTCCGCTGTTAAATTGATTATTTAAGAGCGTTAAAATTTTTTACAACGCATAATTGTTAAATTGTTTTTGACATTTAAGATTTTGGTTTTTTGTTACGGAATAATGAATTCTGTGTATCCGAAACAGACTAATATAAAAAAGTAATTGTTAAAAAATAAATATTATAACAAAACAAAATTCTATAAAATTACGCAAAAACTAATAAAAGAAAAATAAGAAATTATAAAGAAATACTAATTAAAGATAAAACTTATTCAAAAAAACATAAATAAATACAAAAAAAATAAAGATAAATATTAAATTATAAAAGTAAAAAAGAAAAATCAAAATTAAATTATAGTCAACAGTAAATTAATTAATAATAATAAAAATAAAAAAAACTGATATATATACAGTTAAAAATAATTACAAATATATAAAAACTTAAAAAGATTTTTACAAAAAAATTAGAAAAAAAAAATATAAATGAATAATTTTAAATAAAAAAAAAAAATAATGATAACAACAACTAAAGAAAAAAAATAAATACTGTGCTACACTAACATCAAGTAAGTCTTAATTTAAATAATTTAAAATTCAATAGAGTAAAGTAGAGTAGAATAAACTAAATTTAATTAAAAATAGTGAAATTATTGGGTCTATAGCTATATTCGTGCGTGTTTTTTTTTGGTTATTAGGTTTTTAGGTCCCAACTTATTTGTGGATTATATTTTAAAAAAATTGTGACAAGAATGAATTAAGTCAATTTTTCATACACTCATTTTATGCGAACCATATTCCAGTGAGGGTGTTCTGCATCGACCGGAACAAATGCTAGTCAGTTGGGGCATGGTCTGGGCTATAAGATGTGTTTGGCAAAACTTTCCAGCAGCTGTTTTCCAAAGTTCCAGTTTTTGCGAGCCTAGCAACATGAGACCGAGCGTTGTCATGATGGAATATTAATGCCTCGTGTCTAGTCGCAAATTCCGGATATTTTTTAGCAATATCTAGCTTCAATTTTATGAGTTGTTGTCAGTTGCGTTCCCGTTAATGGTTTCACCCGGTTTTAGGAACACAATATACAGCACGCCCTTCTGATCTAATCAAATACAGAGCACTGCCTTAGCGTTATAAATATTTGGCTTTGCCGTTGATTTGGCTCATTAGCCAGGTGTCATATAACATATGATTTTTTTAGTTTGTCGTAATGGATACATTTTTCATTAGCAGTTATAATTCGAAGCAAAAACGACTTCTTTTCCAGTCGTTCAATAAATTAAACTAAAATAAATACCGTCAATAGATTTAAAAAAAAATTATATATTTAAATAAATCTTAATTAAGCGAAACAAATTTAATATTGGACAGACAGTCATTTAATTGAGTCGATTAGCAGTTGTATGCATATGTCCATAAAGCGTTATTTCGGACAATTTGGTAATTGACCAGATTAAGTTATGTTAAATTGTGTCAAAATTCTTATTTCTTCGATCAGTACCTGACAAATATATCTAAGTAGGTCGTGTGAAAATTTGAAGCTCATATCTCCAAAACTATTTGCCGGATCAACTTCAAAATAGATATAATAAAACAAATTGAGTAAAACCAGTTGTGTAACCACAGCGCATAAGAAATTATATATTCACATACATGGTTATATTTTAATTCCTCTTTCTATACAAGTTCCTTTAAAAATTGTATGAAAACCCAAACTTATTCACACCTTATTTTATGCTCTCTTGCAGAAATGGGAACTATACGTGCTCAGTCGACTCGGCTGGGATTTGTCATCCGTTACGCCTTTGGATTTCCTTGAGTTGTTATTAATCCGCCTGCCTATCAAGAGTAAAGAATGTCCTGATCTGAGTCTCGATAAAGTAAGGCAACATGCACAGGCCTTCATATGCTTAGCAGCCAAAGGTGAGTACTGTCAATTAACTAATTAAGTTATTTAATATAATGAAATGTGTAAATTCTGCACAAAAGTTTAATTGCCAATTGGAAAATGAATTGCTATTGTCTCATTACGAATACCTACTCGAAGGCTCGAAACCAGTCGTTTTGTAGTAAAATTAGCCATATTCTTATTCAAACTGAAATATTTAGTATACCCATTTATAATATATTTCATAACTACTGGCTCAGCTGTTTTTGCCTCTTCATTTACACCGCAAAGTTAAATAATCTCTGCAATTGTGGTCAAACTACTCTACTTGTTGTGTTGCCCTGACTAGCCAACCTCGACTGCTATCTATGCCGCATATCCTTTGAATGAAGTTGCCCACCTCTAACTGGCGTTAGGTAGTCGGTCGGTGAGCCGGTTGGTCGCTTCGCTTTTGTGTCTGCAACACAGACGAGGTCTTGCCTAAGATACAAAGAAAGATGGGTAATGAAAACAGCACACAAATATAAAGCATTAATAAAAATCGCAGGCCACGCAAATAACCTGTCTGCGGCTTTTTCACGGCATTATCAATGGCAACAGGACAGGCGATAGCATCAAAGAGAAAGAGTCAAATGAGCAAAACAAAAATGTTGCGGACGCGCATGCGTTCCTTCCAGCACACCAAATGCTCGTTTGGTTTCGTTCATTATGAAATATTTTTTTAATGGCTTGGCGTGTGGCTTCTGGATGCCAATGGTCGCCTCATATTGAGTCCACGTTGAGCGTAGGTCTCTCGGTTTTGAACTAAAGTTCGGCATTGTATTAGCATTGTAGTTGTACGTTTGCGCTTTGCTACAAAGAGAACATTGCATTTTATTGATTTTGTATTCATTGAAAATTGTTTGCGCTAACAGATCTACAAAACCTCAAATACCGACGAGATTTGTCTGGCCATTCGTCTGTGCTGTTACACCGCATTCCAACTAATTCATTATTGATTGACTCAAGCGAAGGATTGCCTTTTACAAAGTCCATGTGCAAATGGCCATTTGCGAGGTTTGCTATAGCTTAAAGTTGTCTACAGTTGCGGTGTCATTAAGAGAAGAGTAAATTGGTTTTCTAGAAATCTATTAAAAATGAAACATAATTTGTATGAAGTATGTGCAACTGTGGAAAAGGTCCCACTTACAAGAGCGTCTTTTTAATCCTTCCATCTGTAACATTCAGTTCCTAGTTTGAACTCAAAAGGTTGCACTTGGTTCTAAATAGTTTAGCAGTGAACGTCTTCTGTCTTACTGTCTTTACTAAGATATAAATATGTATGTGTACAGCAGTACAACCCTGGTTGTTTGATACCAAAATCTAAGTTGTAAGGTATCAATAGCCTCCTATCGCATAGGTCGTTCATTTTGAGATCACTTGAAGATCGCTAAAATTTGTCCTTGATCACATTGTAATCCTGACTGCTTAATACAAAAATATCTTAGAACTACGCTTTAAGACAACAATAGCCTCCTATCATATAGCTCGTTCATTCTGAGATCACTTAAAGATCACTGAAATGTTAAAATATCACACTTTTATAGAAGGTGTAGATAAGAAATTAACAGTATAAGATCTTCAGTTGAGCCAGAAATTATTTACCGCAAATGACGTTATATCTTCCGAAACTATAGTATGTCGGAAGGTTACGTGAAATAAGATTCATAATTGAACTACAATTGTCAATACTAAAGCAAAAAAGCTCAATTTCGTCAACGCTAATCTGAAACATTTCTAAATCTTTTTAAAATATGTCGTACGCCTATTTCTACCATGATAGAAATATAATATTTATCCCTTCAGATTCCTCTGCTAATACGTGGTTAAGTCAAGCGTTTACCAAATTCAAACAGTGGCTGTATGAAATTTTATACCCTAACCCATGATGTGAACAGCCACCGAAATCAATTTAAAACATCACAAAAGTGCCGCCAATAATCATCGAAAACGGCAGTTAATTTTTATTTGTATAACAGCAGCATTCTCTTCAATGCATGGCGAAAAGTTAGTCGCGTGGAACAGCTGTCTAAAAGAAAACAAAAATTAATTAAAATTTAAAAGCTATATAAAATAGCTATAAATATACCATATGTGAGTGATCGGAGTGCCCAATCCATAACTTAAACGGAGTACACTTATGATCTTTTAAACTGAAGAAGTGGTCGTAAATAATGAAGGAGGTTTTTCGAGAAGCTTGCTACTAATATATTAATATAAAATACAATGTTAGGGTGTAAAAAAAAAGGATGGATAAAAAACACTGTCTATGAATAATTATATAAGTAGAACTTTTTGATTTATATACAGTATTGTGCAGAACAAAACTATACATTTATAAAAAATAATATTTTTATACTCTCGCAACCTGTTGCTACAGAGTATAATAGTTTTGTTCACCTAACGGTTGTTTGTATCACCTAAAACTAATCGAGTTAGATATAGGGTTATATATATATAAATGATCAGGATGAAGAAACGGGTTGAAATCCGGGTGACTGACTGTCCGTCCGTCCGTGCAAGCTCTAACTTGAGTAAAAATTGAGATATCTTTATGAAACTTGGTAGACATGTTTCTTGGTACCGTGAGACGGTTGGTATTGCAGATAGGCGTAATCGGACCACTGCCACGTCCACAAAACGCCATTATTCAAAAACAAATAAATTGCCATAACTAAGCTCCACAACAAGATATAAGACTCTTATTTGGTAAACAGGATAACAATAGGGAAGATAGGTGAAATCGGGTGGCAACTCCGCCCACTTCCCATATAACGGTACTGTTAAAAACTACTAAAAGCGCGATAAATCAAGCACTAAACACGCCAGAGACATTAAATTTTATCTCTGGGATGGTATAAGATGACTTTATAGGAACCGCGTTCAAAATTAGACAGTGGGCGTGGCACAGCCCACTTTTAGATGAAAACCCATATCTTGAGATCTGCTTAACCAATTTCAACCAAATTCGGTACATAACGTTCTTTTCATATTTCTATGTTATAGTGCGAAAATGGGCGAAATCGGACTACAACCACGTCGTGTTGTGTCCGTGTTGTACAACCGTGTTCGGTTACATCCGAACTTAGTCCTTCCTTACTTGTTTTAACATAAATTTTTATGAGAAAAAGCAAAAAGTTTTGTGTTAAAATAACAGGCGTGAAATGCATGTGAAGTGTCATGGGTTAAAATTATTTTTGAGATAGTCATAGATCTTACTACATTTTCCACAGAAATATTCTTTGAAAGAATTTTTAAGACCCTCGTTTTCACAAGCCAAGCGATTTTATAGAGCCCAGGTGAGGGTGGTGGCACTGTCAGGAATACTTTGAGCACAATTTAACCTAAAAATTGGTTATTGGTGTTTTGGAAAGAAAACTTTGGTTTCAATCACTAATGGTTCCGGTTGCATATGTTTTGCTCAATAATGTTCCTATCAATTTATGCCTCGCGACGCATAGCTGAGCTAAAGAAATTGCGTGCATTTGTGTATTTCACAAAAATTTGATATTTTTTAATTACGGTCACCTAAGCCAGAGAGCGTTTTATTTGTCAAAAAAATGATCGAATTTTAGGTTTTTAATTTTTTTTGTTCCGAGTTTTTTAATTTAAAATTTTTTTTTGTTGAAAAGGGTTAAGTAGCAGGTAACGCATGCCAAAAAAATTAAGGGAATCCTTCTCACACATATCTTTTTTATTTTCTTTTTTTTTTAATGTTTCACAATTTAAACCTTAAACCTTTAACCCTAATGAAATTGAATTGTGTAGCGGCCCCCACTACGTAAAAGTGTCGGGTTACAAATAAATATTTTCGCAGCGCAGAAAACTGAAAAAATTGCAACAAATACAAAAAAGTTCAGCGCCTTCACAATCACGATTTCGCTATTTTTAAATGTCCCATAAACCTTCAAAAAATAATTTATGATTTTATAATACGCCGAAGAAGTAGGTAGTCACGTAAATATACATCTTTATAGGTGTATGGGTGCGTACTAAATTGTGTGTTGGGCTTAATGCCTTCCATGGATTTTTTTCCAATCAAATGTGGCGCCTCGCTTTTGTTTTTGCCATTGCTTTTGTACAGGTAATTTGAGCTAATTTCCAATGCAACATTGTTTCATACACACATGTACATGTGTGTGTGTTTTGACACTTATTGAGCGCTTATTGATATATGCGCTTAATGTATGTATGGATGTGTGTGCGGATATCTCATAGCACTTTCGTTCACACTACCCCCATCCACATATTAAATGCATAAATTTGCCAATTTAATTTCTTAATTAAATGTCCCTCGCAAATGAGTTGACGACATAACACATACAAGAAATTACATACTACACCTTTTCGGCGCTGCTTATTGGCGGCATGAAATCCTTTTACAGCGTTTTTTACCCCCCGCCATCCTTTATTATTGCTGCACAGCTTTAAATGTATTTCTTAATTTTATTTTTGTTATTGTCTCTCTTTATACCCTCCACAGTTCGTAACACCCAGAAGGAAACGTTGGCGACACTATAAAATATGTATGTATATAAATGATCAGCGTGACGACCTGAGTCGATTTGGCCATGTCCGTATATACGAGAACAAATCCCTCAGTTTTTCAGATATTTCATATACATATATATAGTATAAATATATTCAGAAGAAGCTGCTCATTTGTCAGAAACGCTGATATCGGGCCACTTTAGCATATACATATGTATGCAGTCGCCATACAAAGTGATCGATCAAAATAAAGTTTTAGTATGAAAAATTTTTTATTTAACAAGATGTCTTCACGAAATTTAGCATGGTTTATTGTTCAAGGCAACGGTACAATCTCCGAACAAATTGTTTAGATCTGACCACTATTGCATAGCGTTTTTATTCGTAAAGGGTATTATAGCTTCGGTTTAAAAAGAGTTAACGTTTTTTCTTCTTTTGTTGTTGTTTTTGGCGGCGCACGCATTCAGCAACATACCCATATCGCATTTGCATAAGAATCGCAGTT